GGCCACAGTCGAGAACCATATTCGCTACCAGTTTTCTCGATGTGCATCCAAGGCGTCATCACCGACCAAGGCCTTCCTGGTTAAATGGTTATCATATAACACAACCCTTGGACACATTCCTGGCAGAAGATGTTTCCGCAGAGGTGTACAGCTTCTGGCATACCATTCCAGACAGCCTATGTGAAGAACCACCGTTGGACAAGACGGATTGAGATTCTTTTTCATGTTTGGAATTGACCAATGTTCAAGAACCCAACTTGTGATTCAAAGAAATTTGCGTCGCTCACCGAAAGAGATTCAAGCAGATGATTCGTCCTCATCTGAAGATGAAAAGATCCCGGATAAGAAGGCCAGCTCGCCGAGTGATGGAGAACCCGCAGAACCAACAGATGCAGAGCTTGACGAGCCGGAGGAAGCAGAAGAAGAAGATCCAAATCGAGATCGTTGTTCGGATTACGTTAGTCCAAAGAACTCCTTCGTCAAGGTGGATCGAGCCCTCCTGAGCAAATTGACCATATACTACATCGATACCGATTTCATCCTGGAAGATCGACCAGATTTCCAATATGTCATCGAAGGAACGAGATCCCTACAAGAGCGGAGCTATTCAGACATTTCAAACACATAGGGCATCGAAACGATCCTCTTAAGGATTATGACGAACGAGACTTCCGAGAATTGCTTGCCAAGATGATCAAAGAGCCTGAATTTGGGAATTTCAAGATTGTGCCAACAGTCCATGACTATTACGGCGATATCCACTTGGAGAAGACCAAGTACTATGTGTCCGAGCTGGCACAGCTATATGCCAAGAATCCCGAAGAACTGTGGACTACATGCCAAGTGCTTTTATTCCTTCACGAAAAAACCTCAAGAACCTTTACAGCGATTCTACGACCTGATCCCACAGAAGGAGATGGGAGACACATCGAACTACGCCGTGCACGAGATGGATCAGTGACGCTCAAGGAGATCCTTCGACACAATCAACTACGATCCCTTGTTGGCATAGGAGCACCTATGCTACTTGCTGCACTCTTTGATGCAGCCAAGGTCCGCGTTGCTATGGCCGTTACGACCACGGGACCTGCAAAGCAAATTCACCTCGATGGTCTTCAGGCGGACCATTGAATCCTGATCATTTTCCAGATGCGCCTATCCGAGATCTATCTCAAGCCAGCGCAAGGACAGACGGCAAGGGAAGTACCATCACATGCAGAAGGTGATGGATCATCTTCTCAACCAGCGTATCCAGCCTGGAGCAGAAAGAAGGAGCCGGGAACCCTGACACTGGCCATAAGCCAGAGATCGTCAGACCCTAGCCAGAAGACCAACAACCAGAAGTTCCTAATGTCGATCCAGAAGGCCTTCGACCAACTGATGACGGCCTCATTATTGACAGTGACGACATTGAAGCCAAGATTCTGGTCCATGTTACTGACTCGAAATCCGTGAAGAAGATTCTCGAGCACAAACTGATATCACCAGACACAAGCAGGGAAGGACTCAGAACCACTTTGTCGATTTCACCGATTTCGTGAGGATTAATAAGTTTCGTGATTTTCTTATGAATTAGTTTTGACTAGAGTGCGTTCGTATTGCCATCTTCATATCTTATCATGATTAGCCGAAACCGGGATATTCACACACCACAGGCAGAACCCGAATAAGAAGATGCCGTGCCCATCGGTGACATGCTTATCCATACAAACCCGGTGAGTCCCGATGAGATTCGGGAGATCCAGAGGGAGATTTGGAACAGAATCGCCCTCCTGGCACACAGAGAGAACCGAAAAAGGGATGCACCATCTCAAGAAGATTCTGACGCCACTTCCAGAGAAGGATATGACACGTGGTACCATAAAAAATCATCGTATGAGGGGAGAGCTGGCAAATCCGATGACGGATCCTATGACGCTCCATGGAAGGTAGATCAGAAAAGAGCATATGACAAAGAGACTGAGACATCCATGAAGCGCCCACGACTACAAGGTCATATCTGTCATCATTAAAAAAATCTATTTTCAAGACCTGTGCTGGGAAATTCCCAGAACATGAAGACGGAAGCCTTAGACCTCATGGACTACCTGACGAGCCATGATTATCCACGAGACGCAGAGTATCCTGGACCTGGAACCTTCATCCCTGTGTCCGGCATCTCAAAGATCCAGCTGGCAAGCATCAAGGCCATGGAAAATAAATTGAAGCCAGAAGGCCTTTTCTATCGAGAGCAGAAGCGACACCTACCGACGTGGCATGAATATTGCCAAGCACAACCTGGGTGTGGTTTCCCAATCCGACTACCAAAAGAAGCCACAGAGCTTTCAGTTCATGATCCACAGGGCAGGAAGAACCTTTACATGTCCATCCTGCAGAAGGTCATGAGATCCACGAGAAATCACAACATCAGAGATCCAGATGACATGACCGTCACTCAGACTCACACCCAACGACTGAACATCCTAACCTTGAATATGGGTAATTTGTAAAAGGCGATCATACCGCCCGTGTCGAACTTCTGAACCGGATGGCTATCACCAAATCCAAGAGGGTACTGACCGGTGCACCATGGAATCATATCCAATTCAAATGATTCCCGACACGAGGCAAATATGGATTGCACTATTAGCACTGAAGGCGGCTTGAAGAACTGGACACATCCTCGTAAGGATATTCCCAGACGCAGAACCATTAAGGTTTACAACGAAGGCATACAGCTGGAAATGGACAAGGACAACAGGAACTGCCTACCGTTCCTAATGACAAATATGCAGATTTTCCGAGATCTATTGTGCACAGAGCCGGATTGCCTTTTCATACCGTAGGTGTGTATCACTACGAGACAAGCCAAATCCTGCACGGCCACATACAAGAACCTGATGAAATTCCTTTATCGAGGAGCCTTATTCCTCGTTGACATCATCACCGGCAATGCAAATTCCGCGGCGAATCAGTGCCAAAAGTGTTCGATTCTTTCCGCAGCAACTGAAGATTTCAGAAGTGCCGTGAACATGTTGCAGACAGATCCCACCAATATGCTTACGATCAACGCAGAAACCAGTGCGTCTCTCAGATCCCTGATCGAAGCAGCCCTGAACTACAAGACCGAGAGATTGAGACAGATCCATTCTATGGAATATTGGACTGCATTGTCACTCACGTATTCCATTGGTCCAAGATCAAGGAGATGAGACAAGCGAAGAAGGCATATCTGAAGCTTATCCCGTGACCCTGACAATCAAGAGGATCCGCAGGACATTGAGCATCACGACTACGGTGTCACATCCGCCGAGAGATGCAAGCTGATGACCAACACAAGATCCTTATGTTGGGAGAGAACGACACAGACTGGACCATCGACTGCTCGCATCAGGCCCCCCGGAATTTCTCACCATCCTAGGTCTCACAGTGTCTCGCACCGTTTCAATCATCGATCTTGTACATAGCACAGACTCAGCCCAGAATAGGAATCGCCGGAAATTTTGCGATTCGTTCAATATGGCTATGGTACAGTAATTTTCAGGCCTGTCGAACCAAAGGCTAGTTTCATACCAATATGCTGTGCCATGGGTGGAAAGAAATTTGTGTCTGTTTTGTGTCTTCTTTTCCTTCTGGTTGAATCAAGACTCCACTCATAGGCAACGTGTACAATGTGCAGATTCCGCTGCCATTTAGTTCACAATCACATGTACAGGCCTGGTGTGACTTGACACTACCTTGCAAACACAAGTGCTTGCAGCATCTATACCATTATATCTCTTTCACCAACTGCGTGGCCTATATACACTGACTTCACCGGAATAGGTTCAGGGACAACCACGAGGTATTCTTTATTGGGGCCACAATTGAAGCCCCAGTAATGCAACCCTGGGCGGGGGGGGGGGGCGGGTTCGGGTTCGGTTCGGGTTCGGGCGTGGCCGTTTTTGTTTGTTGATGGGGGGGGGGGGTTCGGGTTCGGGTTCGGGTTTGGGGGGGGTACCTAATGGCAAAAATGTAACATGTTTCCCAACAACAACCATGCAGAACTCATTCGAACCTCATGGAACTTCCCCTTTACAGGTGGCCAGGGTCTGGTGGAAGCAGATTTTTGATACACACTCGCAAAGCCATGGGAAGTTCATGGCCCTTGGTCCTTCCCCTCTAGGCATCAAACCCCAGCCACCCGGGGTCAATGGGCCCATATCTACCCACCCCACAGAAAGTACTCTCCAGATCGTGGGCACCAAAAAGCACAAATCAGCAAACCATGCTTGGAGGAATCTCTATTTGTGCCATGGTCAAAAGCTGCTATGTGGGCCGCGGTGATGGCTCCTTTGATGGGAACTCGTATAGTAGTCGTGGAAAAATCGTGTAACGGTTCCGAATGACCCACGGACAGTTTTCTCTGTTACTCAGGACGTGGAAAAGATGGGAAAGCTACCTCCCCAAGCCAACCGTTGATGGCGACCCCTGTAGGCTTCATTCCCCCAGGAGTCTTTGACGAAATGCCAGGCAACCCGAACGGGGTTTGGATTTTGAACCAGTGGAATTGCTCGAAACCTACGTGCAAAGGTACCCCCTTAATATCCGAACCACCAAACCACCAATTAGAAAGCCGCAAATGTTGAGATGTGTTCTACGGTTGACTCCGAACTCAGCTCGCCGATCGATCTTTGCAATTCTTTCAGACACCACCCGTCTGAGAAGCATCGCAGAGAGAGAGGGATCCGGGTACGGCAAGACTTTGGGGTCAACGGCTCCGAACATGTGCACCTGCCCAAAGGCACTTAATTGCTCTTGTTTGACACTCCCGGCCTGTGACTTGGTCGGCCTGGTCAACCCCCTTTTCTATGCAGCATGGGCTTCGTGAGAGAAGGCCCTCCGGCTCTTCAGATCACCAGACGGACATCTACATCAGTTTGTCTCCAAAGTTGGGGGATTGCCCTACCCCCAACAAGAAAAGGTGTTCGGTTAGCGCCGAGCCCTCAGAGAGGCCCGAAATGAAGAGGCAACTTCCGGGCCTCCAGCACCAGCTGCTTCTCCTGGACAAAAGCCCCTGGAATGGGGTGGGGTACATGACAACTTTGGGCCCTCTTCATTTCTGAACAACAAAGAGAAGCTGAATGCACCTTAGAGTCAGCGCGAAGCGCACTTGAAGTCTGCCCAAGCTCTGCGTTCGCAGAAGCATCCCCAAATTCAAGGGCTGCTGAAGTGCGACCTCTAAGTTTGACCCTTCCCAACAGGTTTGAACCATCCCTAAGGAACTACTTTTGCGCTTGAGAGGCCCTGGCCGATGAATCCACATGGAGCCCTCCAAAACCGGGCCCCCCCAACAGCACATTCCTCTGGACCCTGAAACCGGGGAAACCGCCCCATGAACTTGGGGCAATGTCTCAGGCCGCACGGATCAAATGCACAAAGTCCATTCATGGATTAGAAACCTGTTAGGACTGGAGCATCAAATAGCCAAAGTTTAAGGTTCCCAAAGGCGTGGCGCCTTTTCCTTACTGACAAAGGCAAAACATCACGGATTGAACATCCCTTCACCAACCTCAAGCCCAGGCGGGGTCTGCTAAACCAGACATTGCTGTTTGGCCCCCGATGCATAAGCTGGGAGCTGTTCGCCAGGCTTGGTTTTTCTCTGGTCGTCCGAAACCAGCTAAAATAGCATCCTCCAAAAGAAATCACGCCCACTCGAAGGTCAAAACTCCAAACCCCCAAAGCGGTGCCCCTCCCGTTAGCCCCAAGGCGTCTCCGGCCATCCGGTCACCAGCCCTTCTCCGGGCCTGGAGCAGCAGGAGGCACAACAGCCCGCAGCAGCCCAGGATGAGGCGGCACATCACCAGGCTCAGCGGAGGAAAGGCGTCCTGGCGCGTGGCATGGAGGCGTGGAATGGTGCGGTGTGGCTTCCGCGCGAAGCCGAAAACCCAAAAAACCGCCGAAGCCCTTGGGGCTTGTGTGGAGGTGGTCCGGCTTTTGAAGTCGCTGGCTGTTGCGGGTGCTCAAAAAAGATGGCCTGCTTCGAATTTGTGCCTTTTTCAAAGCAGGCTTGAAGGGAAATCAAAAGGGAAACCATGAATGCTTAGGGGAAACCCTATGTTGACACACACCCATCAGGGGTGCTCCCATGCAACCCAATCGTCACAAGGTAGAAATGTATCTCATGGTTGCAGGAAGACACCCCGAGACCAATTTTCCTCTTGGTCTACTCATTGTGTGGACATTGGCAAACAGGAAAACAGTTTTCAGATATGGGAACCCTCAAAATGCCGAAACCCCGACACAGTTCAGCCCCTTCCCCTGTGCCCAATCAAGAAGCATCTAAGAGTTTGGTTGGCTTCCTCGTTCTACCCTGAAGGGCCAAATCAAGAAAAACACTGGCAAGTCTTCGTTTCATCTTCCAATTTCCCACCCTTTCAAAGAAACCCGCGCCGTCCTTGACGACGCTGGTGAACAGGAACATGCTCCCCGAAATCATCGCAGACCCTACCAGCGCCGCCGCCTCCGCCATAGCCGGGGGCCATCTTTGAGCGCCCGGGAGTGAGCCGAAAGGCTGCAGAGGTACTAAAGTGAAAGATGCTGCACCCGAAATGTGTTGGACAAGGTTTCTTGGGGAGTTCAGGGCCAAATGAGGTGGTTTGCAAGTTTCCTAGAAGGCACAGAGTGTTGGACCCGCGAATGGATGATGAGATTTTCGCCATGGCGATACCAGCGATGAAAGGAACCCATATCATTCGGCGCTTTCTCTTGGTAAACCCTCCCAAAGCCCAATCAAGAACTCCTGCTTCAGAGATCATTCCAGCTGGCGCCCGTCTTCGAAGAAAAACATGAATGCCCGAGATGCCGCACTTTGCAAGCACTACTTCGATGCTCAGCCAACTTTGTAAGTAGGCTATAACCGTTGATGAGTGGTCGATCAACGCACAGGGGGTGCCCACTTCACTTCACACATGCTCGAATCTGATCGGCGATGCCAGTGAGAGACAGAGGGAAAGTCCAGTGTTTACCGTAATCCATATAGCCCAGAGTAGTTGAGGTTCACACTCAGCAAGTAGCACGTGCACGATTCATTTTAGGGACAAACATGGCCGCTTGTCTGTCTCCATTTGGAGTAGCACATAACTATTAGAGCACACAGGTACACACTGAGCGTACTATGCACTACACTGTACTCTGACGGTACAGTAAAGCGTTCGCAGAGCATGAATGCGCCAATGGAAGCTGGTATCTGGCATCCCCCTGCACAACTGCAGTCACTGAGACTTCCGCAAAGGTACAGCTCGGGAGGCTCCATGGAAGATTTTCACCAGGCCCTTGGTCAGCGGCACCATCCAAAGGATGGACATCAGCAGCACGGCGAGGACTGTGAGCGGATAGCCCACTCTTTCCACAAGGGTGGTGGTTTCCGACACATGAGGGTGCAGCTTGATGTCCAGGGAGAAGAGAAGGATCCAGGAAGGAAGCAGCAGAATTCGAAACAGGAGGAAGGACACCCATGTGAGGAGCGAGAAACCCTCGAACACCCGCGGCCATGGCCCTTCTGGCTGCTGCGCGAGATTCAGCTCCTTCAGCATGAAGACCACGGAGAGCAGCGGATTGGTGATCTCGCAGAGCCCGGCCAGGCATCCCCAGAAGTGCATCCTCTGCGTCCACAAACCTCCGAGATAGCAAATGTTGCTGACCAGATGATGCGCCGCAACCGTGGCGCGCTTGGCAAATGGCACATCCTTGGAGAGCTGCAGGGGAATGTGGACGGTGTTGTCGATCACAAACAGCCACAGGTAGAGATTCGACGAGCGCGTCGTGCCGTGCAGCCGGAGCTGAGCGCTGTCGGCATCATCGATCGACGCTCCTCTCAGGTGGATGCTCACGTCCGTGGCCAGCCAAAAGATGTAGGAATGGAAGAAGATGGAATAGACGTTGTCTGCGGTGGCGTAGAGATCATCCGTATGACTGAGGCACTTTTTCACGAAGAAGACGGCAGTGGCACGCCCAGCGACCACTAAAGCGGTGGTCATCACCACCTCGGCCACTGAAAGGCCCTCCATGTCCATGGCGACATCCATCGGCGCTAATTCGTAGGATCTGGACAGAATTTGCACGGGGAAAGTGCAGGGGATTAGCACCCCTGCCAAAAGGAAATGACCTATGCATGTCATGTTATGACCTAAGTTGGTTGAACATCCAAGGAGCAGCTGCGTGTCATGCCGGGCAAGCTACGGGCGGAAACGAAACCAGAGCCAGTTGGGCAGCGTTCTTCTCACACTCAGAGCTAAAAAGGCGATGTTGAGGATCAAGGGGAATACGCGGATGCAAGAAAGGCGGGGTAGCTGTGATTTTCTGCAGAGCTGCCTCCAAACATCGCGCCTTCCGAACCAGAACCTGGCACACGAGCTCCTTGCGCCGCTGCCTGCGACGGTTCTCAGGCAACCCTTTGGTGTGGATGGGTTGGGGGTTTGAACACCTGATTCCTGAGGGCACCTCCCAACAATAAGATCAAGCTCCAGTTTTCTTGGCCCACATCTGGGTGCGCAGAAAAATATGCTTATCTTCAGACTCTGTTCATACTCAACGTACCCCAAGGAAGAAAAAAAACTCGCTTTGGAGAAGCCCCTGGGAGTGTGCCGCGTAGAGGAATTGGGAGCTTGTTGTTTGGAGTAGTCTTATTTGGGGGGGGAATCTTTCTTTGGGAATCGGACCCCCAACGTGGCATCGGGTTTCCTCTTGGTTTCCCTTGAATAAAACACGCAAAAGGGGTGCCCTCAAAAGGACCCACCTTTTTCAGGCACGCAGTCAGGACAAACTCCACGAGCTTAAGGGACTGAGAACTGCTTGAGGAACTCGGCGGAATTTCCAGGCGTGCAACTGCGACATTGGTTCCCCACAAGCAACCATGCGTGTTGCACCGCGATTGGCAATTGCGCAAGTGCTGCCACAGCTCGGGATGCAGCCCGCCTACTTAGCATGACAGAAGGTGGCAGCCGCTTCTACTTGTGCCCTGCCCCCCCCACCCCACCCCGCCCTGTCCCCCAAAGTCATCGAGGTGTTGACCAGGTCGGGACAGCGGGAAAGGCGCCGGAAGGGGTTCATATGTGCAACATGCTCCGTGGCGGCGTGAGGTCACCAAATTCGAATTTGAGAAGCTCCCATGCAGGTACGACATAGGGGGACCCAAAAACCAGTGGGCTCTTTGTGTGCTTTTCTTTTTCAAAAAGGGTATTGAGCCTGAACAACACCCCCGCCCGCACGCATACATCTACATTATTCATTCCGTCCCCGACTGACATGGGATGTTGGTGAGCCCCAAATGCTGCTCCTCATTCTTTGTTGCTGTTGACCCCTCTGCAAAAAGTTTAACTTTTTGCGGGTTTGGTGGAAAACCCCTTCATGTCCCAAAAAGTTAAAGTCTGAAGATCCACCAATAGTCAAGCATTGCTCCAATGAAACGGCGCAACGCGCGGCCTGTGCCGCGCGAGGTTCTTCACCTTGGACACCGCCTTCTCCGCGAACTCCGTGGCGTAGCTCTGGGCCACCTCGTGAAAGGGAGCCCCAGTGGAACGGGGGGCCAAAATTAAACGGGGGCAAACCGCAGGTCACAGGGTTCCATTTTGGTACAGTCTGTTTAAAGGGCACCTCTTAAAGGGAAACCAAAAGAAAAAGCAAAACTGAGCTGTCCTCAGATCAGTGACTCACTTTTAGTGGCTTAAATGGAAACTACCACTAAACACTAAAAGGCTAAAAAGCTAAGGGGATGGCTGGGAGCCACCAAGAAAACAAAAACGAGACCGCAAAGCAACCCAAAGAAAGGCCGAAGGAAAACCGACACCTGAAAAAACGGGCGATGTGCCCCTCCATGTTCGTGGGAACCACCCCGCAACGACTGCGTCAAATCCACTTGAAGCGTCCAAACAAGCATCCGGGCTTGGAGATGGAAACAAAGAAGCCCGAGGTGTTGGGGTCTACTTTTTGAAAGGTCGCATTGCAAAGCCGATGGAAAATTGGAAGCGTGGTTCGCATGCCTGGACAATTGCTGACGCGCACACGCCGCGCCTGCCAAGACTTGCCGACGGTCCTCTGCGTTTCCTCCACGAACCTCGGGGGGCGCTCATCTGAGAGTCTCGCTGCTGTTGAGGCTCGGTTCCTTTTTTGGGCCTTGGAAAAAAGGGAAGGCAAAATGAAACTAATGATTGGGGGGTCCCTCTATTTCAATACCCCTTCTCTCGCTTTGGAGGTTGCAACCCTGTTGTTCCTTTTCAGCTCGCAAAAGTTGCCCGACTGAGTTGCTGGAGCCCGGGACTCGAAAAGAACCGCCTTTTCCACCAGGCGGTTCCCCGCTTTTGGTTTCCTGGAAAGAAGGATCCCTGAACAGCTCCTTTCCTGAGTGTCGCCCGAACAAACAAACTGGCCACATGGTCTTCCTAAAATTGACTCAAGTCCTGGAACTCAGTCAGCGAGCAAAACAAAGGAAGTATATTTTGGATGTCCATTCAAAATCGGGTGATTCAACTAAATATTGTGTTGGTTTGTCTCAAAATCGAGCACACTGAAAAATGGTTGTTTAGTTCTTCCTCTGAAAACCAGCCTCCATTGGACACCCCTCAACCAACATGACCCCCCCTCCCTAGAGAACCTCGCCTCTGAGTCCCGGTGTTCTTGGATGCTATAAATGGAATCGCTCATGAAACATCAATCAGCTTTCGTTGAATTTATGGATGTTCGACCCAAGCGGAGACGCCTCTCACTTCAATTTATGACAACTCGGTCATGGAATCGTTGCATCCATACTGTGGATGGACGAATTCCTGCACCACCTAAGAAAGCCTGGAATGGGGATTCCCCTGTAAATACCAACAAACCATGGTTTCATTTCGTATTGCGAAATGGATTTTGCGTCCATCCACTGGATTCTGCTCCGAACCGGACACCGCTGGGCCTCTGAGGCTCCCGCTGGGAGGCCGAGGTGTTCATCCGCAGCAGGGACTTCTTGGCGGTCTCCGGGAGCTCGCCCAGCAGGAACTCCGTGCCTTGGCCTCGGTGCACGCGGCTTTTTGGGGTTGGTTCCCGGTACCAAGCCTCTGTGAGTTTGTTTGTTGTTTTTGCTTTTTTTTAGGGAGGCTAAAGGACAACAAAGATAATTAGGGCGGCCCTAAAAATAACATACTTTTCGTGGAGGCCCGAAAAGTTCTAAAGTTAGAAGTTCAAAGGAAACCGAAAGGAAGCCCAAAATCATAGTCCCGGGTTCCTTGTGGGTAATTTAATGAACATAAACTACTTGGGCTTTTCGGGGAAAAACAAACTCATTTAGGTCACTCACCGGAGACGTTGGTAGTTGCTTGGCCCCGAAAAAATTGTCCCTGCCATATACCCAATTCCCCCCCAAAAAAAATAGACTGCCCCAAATGCGGGTTCAACAAGGCCCTAGCAATTGGGCGCCCGGCGCGCGGGCGCCGGAGTCGCGTAGGTGAGCACCGGGCTGGCGGGTTTGCTGCCCGCAGTGGAGCCGGCGGCGCTGCTGGAGGGACTGCCGGTGTCGAAGAAGCTGGAGGTGACGCTCCTCCAAGATCGAAGTGTTCGAAGCCAATGGGCATATCCCATGGGAGGCTAAAGCAAACTTTTGGGGAGGAAAAGGGAAACCAAAAGGAAGCCAAGCAATTTATACGGCCAGAATTTGTCAATTGCTTAGTCATTCCAAAATCTGAAACGAGGGATCCGCAACTTTGGCCCCATTTCACCAAGCTTGAGCCTAGAGGAGATTCAAATACAAAGAACCTTCTTGGTCGGCTGGAAATCCTGGACCCGCAAAGGCGATAAAGATTTCAAAACACAGGGGGCAAGCAAAAAACAGCTTTGCTGGGCGTGCACAGAAGATGGATCTTGATGTCCGTCCTAAGCAGCCCGGAAATCGAACGAGAAAGTTCAAGCCTGCTTCGGGGGGTTAACCAGCCAGCAGGGTCATGCCAGTCGACCCGATCGGCAGAGAAGAAACATGGCCTCTGGAAAAGTAAAAAGCAAAAAATCTCCCAGGCTGAAAGCTTTGGGGTCTGTGCCAAAACAGTTGGGCCCATCAACCCAGGCAAAATGGAGGTCCAAAAACAGGTTTGGGGTGGGAAACAAACGGGCCCCCCCTTTGTTTGACAAACAAAAAGCAAAACCTTGCAACCTCAAAAAAGAACCCTTTACAACCACCCCCTGCCCCCACTCCGTGTCCCTTCCAAAACAAGAATAAGGCCCTAGCCTTGTAAAGCTATGATTTTAGCAGACCCTGTGTGGTTTTTGCAAAAGTGAAGGATCCCCAAAGTGGATTGTACTCCCAAATTGTCAGTGGCCATGTCAATAACGGGCACATGCCCTTTGTTATTGGGTACAATAGGTGATAAAATGACACCAAGAAAAAACACGCACACGCACACGCACACGCACACGCACACGCACACGCACACGCACGCGCACACGCACGCACACGCACACGCACACGCACACGCACGCACGCACGCACGCACGCACGCACACACGCACACACGCACACACGCACACACGCACACACGCACACACGCACACACGCACACACGCACACACGCACACACGCACACACGCACACACGCACACACGCACACACGCACACACGCACACACGCACACACGCACACACGCACACACGCACACACGCACACACGCACACACGCACACACGCACACACGCACACACGCACACACGCACACACGCACACACGCACACACGCACACACGCACACACACACACACACACACACACACACACACACACACACACACACACACACACACAGGTCCGCCCACTGTGTCTGGCCGTTTCTTCAGGTCTCCGATGCTTTTTGTCCATGTCGCCCGCCCAATCTTCTCCTTGTGACTTCTTCGTGCGCCTCCTCACGGTCCTCCCTTTCCTCCTCGGCTGATGTGACGAAGGGGGATCCTCGGGTTTCCTTTTGGTTCCCCCCACCAACCTGAAAACGGGCACCAACTCCAAACGCGCCCCAAAGTATTTAAACCATGGTTTGAACCACCACACTGCTTGACAACCTCCTTCGGCTTTTCCCGCAACAAATTGGCTTCCGAAATCGGATGCGAGCACACATGATGTTCCTGCACAACTGAC